AGAGATAAATAAAAAAAAAGGAGAACACGTGAGGGACCTTCCATGCCGTGGCGTGGCGGCGGGTGGCCCGCCTTCCCGCAGCCGTCTGCTGTAATCCCTCCCGCCCGCCTACGCACCGCCCTCCCGCATCCGCCCTACTGGCCCGCCCGCCCGCAACTCCGCCAGCCCTCCCTCCTTCCCTCCCTCCCTCCCCCTCCTTCCTTTCCTCCTCCTCTCCCCCCTCCTATCCTCCCTTCTCCCCTTCCTTTCTTCCCTTCTCCTCCCCCTCTTTTCTTCCCTCTCTCCCCTTCCTTTCCTCCCTCCCCCTCCTCCCTTTCCTCTCTCCCCTCCTTTCTCCCTCCTTTCTTTCCTCTCTCCCCTCCTTTCTTTCCTCTCTCCCCTCCTTTCTTTCCTCTCTCCCCTCCTTTCTTTCCTCTCTCCCCTCCTTTCTTTCCTCTCTCCCCTCCTTTCTTTCCTCTCTCCCCTCCTTTCCCCCTCCCCTTCCCCTTCCGTAACCGTTTGCAATAACCCTGTACTGGCCATTGTCTAGATGCATATGGAAGCAGGCAAGCCGAGCAGGTGCTGTAGATGGGTTTTCTAGATGGCTCGGGGGTGCAATGAAGAGGGGAGAGAGGGGGTGAGGGGGGGAAGGGGGTGAGGTGAGGAGGTGGAGGGAAGGAAGGGGTGAGGAAGTGGAGGGAAGGAGGGAGTAAGGACATGGAGGGAAGGAGGAAAGGAGGGAGGGAGGAGAGGAGGAGAGGTGGAGAGGAGGGGGTAGGAGATGGAGGGAAGGAGATGAAGGGAAAGAGATGGAGGGAAGCAGGTGGAGGGAAGGATGGGGTGAGGAGATGGAGGGAAGGAGATGGAGGGAAGCAGGTGGAGGGAAGGATGGGGTGAGGAGATGGAGGGAAGGAGATGGAGGGAAGGATGGGGTTAAGAGATGGAGGGAAGTAGGGTGATAGGCATAGGAGGGAAGTAGGGAGAGAGAAAGGTTGGGAGGGAGGGGGGAGGTGAGGAGGGAGGGGGATAGGAGTGGGAAGGAAAGAGGGAGGGCGGGAAGAAAGAGACAAGGGAATGGAAGATAAAAATGAGGAGGGGAAGGAACTGGAAGAGGAAGGAAGAAGAGGGAAAGGAACAAAGGAAAGAAATAAACAAACAAAGGAATTTGCAGTATGAATAAAGGAAAAAAAAAGCTGTATCCATAATGAAGAGGAGACTAATACAAGCGAAATATATCTGTCAAAACAGAAGGGAGTTTTTTTTAAATATTTAATAAATATTCAGCTGAATCGATAGCCAATACAGATTCTGTAGGTCTGATTAAAACCCATTATTGAGAGAGAGGGAGGGAGGGAAGGAGGGAGGTAGGGAAGGAGAGGGAGAGGGAGGGGGGAGGGAGAGGGGCCAGAGAGGGAGGGAGAGGGATTGAGGGAAGGTAGGGAAGGAGAGGGAGAGGGAGGGGGGAGGGAGAGGGGCCAGAGAGGGAGGGAGAGGGATTGAGGAATGGAAAGGGAGGGAGGGAGGATCAGAAGGAAGGAAAGAAGGGATGAGAAAGAAAGAAAGAGGAGATAGATATAGATAGATAGAAAGAGTGGGTGTGAATAAGTGTGAGAGAGAGAGAGAGAGAGAGAGAGAGAGAGAGAGAGAGAGAGAGAGAGAGAGAGAGAGAGAGAGAGAGAGAGAGAGAGAGAGAGAGAGAGACGGAAAAAAGGGAAAGATTTTGATTGTACTACCATAATGATAACGAAGGTAATGACGATGATTGTTATTATGCCAATGATGAAAATAACAATCATAATAATGATTACCGCAAGGATGATAACGATGATAACAACAACAGTAACAACAACGACAATAACAGTAGTATTAGTAAAAGCATTAGATTTAATAACAACAAGATAAATATTAATGAACTACAATTACTTATTCTAACAATAATACTTAAATCATTCAACCCAACAACAGTGCATTGTCTAACCACCGCCTATTCTCTCCCCCTCCCCCATCCTCCCCCTTTGCCCGCCCACACCCACGCCTGCTCACACCTCCGCCCGTCCACGCCGACGCCCGCCCACGCAGGACCACAACGACGAGATCCGGCAGGAGCAGATGCGCGAGATGCAGATCCTGAACGGGCGCCCCAGCATCCCCGGCGCCGAAGGAACGGAGAACCACACAGATTCCTCCGGCTCGCTCTCCCCTCCGAACTCCCTCTCCCCCCCTCCCCCCGGCCCCGTCAAGATCCCCTCCGCCCACCAGATGGCCGCCCAAGCTGCTGCTGCTGCCGCTACGCCCGTGGCGCCCGCGCTCCTCACCCACCCGGCCATGAGGGGCCTCACGCGCGCCCAGATGGGACTCCTCACCGCAGGCGCCCGTGAGTTGCCCGCGCCCGCCCGCCCGCTCTCGCCTGAGGGGCTGTAGAGTGTTTCGTTCTTCCTTGTTTCGTGTTTCCTTATTTCTGGTCTCCTTCTTCTCCTTCTTCCTCCCCTATTCCTCTTTCTTCTGTTCCCCATCTTCTCTTTCATCCTTTTCCTTTTCCTTGTCCCTTATTTCTGTTCCTCCTCCTCCTCCTCCTTTCCCTCGTCCCTTATGCCTGCTCCCTCTCTTCATCTTCCCTCTCCTCCCTCCTTCCTGCTCCTTCTCTTCTTCTTCATCCCCCACCTCCATTTTGTCTTCCCCTCTTCCTGTTCTCTTTCTATCTTTTCTTAATGCTTTGTCCTCTTCTTCCCTTCCTCCTTCGTTTTTTTATTCATATTCTTCCTCCTCCACACCTTTTCCCTACTTCTTCCTTCTTTTCTTGCTCCATGCTTCATCTCCTCTTTCCCCTCCTCTGTGTTTGACCTTTATTGTTATTCGTTTTTTGTTATAAATTAATTTATGCTATTCATCTATTCGTACATTATTTTTTTCATTTACTTTCCATTTTTCTTTATATTCAATTATCACTTAATTACTTAGGCTATTGTTGATTTCCAGATCATAATCTAATGGAAAGTAATTTTTCACCGCAATTTTTCTTCTCTCTCTCTCTCTCTCTTTCTTTCACTCTCTCTTTCTTTCTCTCTCTCTCTCTTTCTTTCACTCTCTCTTTCTTTCTCTCTCTCTCTCTCTCTCTCTCTCTCTCTCTCTCTCTATCTATCTATCTATCACATTCTCTCTATATATATCTATCTATCTATCTATCCATCTATCTATCTATCTATCTATCTCTCTCTCTCTCTCTCTGTCTCCCTCTCTTCCAATTTAGTCTAAATATTATTACTTACGATTATCCGAATCGTTTTAAACACAAGTTATAATTGAATCTCTTGGTTTTATATTTCAAAGTGTCATGCATTTTATCGAATTAGAATGAACTGTGTCATGGCGTTTTCAAATTATTTTATACAATTTTTTCCCCACGATTATGTCAGTTTTTTGTGTATTTATGTAATTTTGTAATTTGCTGGTAGATTTAAATGATTAAATCTCCAATTGTTTAAAAAATATTAATTGTGCTCATGAAAAAATAAGAAATATACCTAAAAAGCCTAGAATTTTAGAGAATTTTACAAGATATGGATATAGACACAGATAAATAGATACACAGATAGATAGACATAAAAAACAAAACAAAACAAAAAACAGAGAGAAAACCAAAACAGACAGTGGGAAAAAAAAGATAATAAACACATAGCCAGAAAAAAATATTAATTCATACCAGATAATGAAACAGACACATAATTAAAACATCAACAAGAAGCTAACTTTCTCTTTCCCTTTCTCCCCTCTCCCCTCCCCCCGCCCACCCCCGCCCACCCCCGCCCACCCACAGCTGTTCCAGGGATGCCCGCCCCAGCTGTTCCCGGCGCCATGATTGGTAGGTTCCCCACCCTCCTGCCCCTCGGCTCCGTCACACCCATGGCACACCCAACAGCTCGCAGGTAAGCTTGGAGTTTTTGTTTGTTTGTTCTTTAATGCGTGTGGGCGTGTGCGTGTGTATGTCTATATTTTCTTGACTATCTTTTATTTTTTATTTTTTTCGTTTTCTTTACATCTGCTCTTACTTATCTTTTCTTTCTTTATTTTGTTTTTTTGTTTTTTTGTCTTTCTGGCTAATGTTTCTAGTTAGTTCTGTTTGGATGAACTAGCTGTTTGACCGACTGATGATTTTTTTTTGTTTTTTGTTTTTCTTTATTTTTTCTTTCCTCTCTCTTTCGCTTTCTCTCTCCCTCTCTTTCTCTGTCTGTTTCTCTTTCTCTCTCTTCGTCTCTCTCTCTCTCTCTCTCTCTCTCTCTCTCTCTCTCTCTGTCTGTTTCTCTTTCTCTTTTGGTCTCTCCTTCTCTCTCTTTCGCTCTCTCTCTCTCTCTCTGTCTGTTTCTCTTTCTCTTTTGGTCTCTCCTTCTCTCTCTTTCTCTCGCTTGGTCTGCTTTCTCCCTTTCTCTCCCTCTCTTTATTCCTCTTCACTCTCTCTCTCTCTCTCTCTCTCTCTCTCTCTCTCTCTCTCTCTCTCTCTCTCTCTCTCTCTCTCTCCGCGACTGAGGACCAAGAAAGCCTCTTTTCTTGTCTCTTGACTTTAGTAGTTTGTTCATAAGTAGAGTCTTTTTTACATGCATGGATCCCCGTGAAACCTCTTTGACTAAAAGCAAATGATCTGGGATTTGATTATTATTTTTACATATATATACATACTTAAAATAATAATAATCATAATGTAACACCTTTTCTCTGTATGCTTTTTCTCTTTTTTCTTCCCCTAAAAATGATGATGTTTAATCTATGGTGAATATGATCACTCTAGAAATTCTTAGACTTCTAGTTGACTGAATATCTAGGAGAGGTTCTCAAGCATGAGCTTAAGTACAATGTCATAATTTTTTTTTTTTTTTTTTTTTTTTTTTCTTTTTTTTTTTTTTTGCAACTGAGGTAGCTGTCTGTGTGGTTCCTTGGCATTGGGTTTTGTGCCTCCATATATGAGAGAAAAACTGACGAGGAATTTGTCTGTTTTTCTGCATATAATATATACGAGATTGTGCGTTTGTTTTTTTTGTGATTGGTTTGTTTATATTCATTTTGATTTTTTGATGGACATGCGCCATGCAACATTTCAACATGCGCAATACCCTCCTGTCCTTCTGCACGTGAAGCTTCCTTATATGATTTCTATGCATCACATGCAACAGTTTTTTATACATTCATCTTGCGCTCCTTGCAAACAGGACATATATTTTATTTTCTTATTTATTTATTTTTTCTCTCTCCTTCATGTCAACATCACTCTTGCAGCAAAGGAGAAGAAATTGTGGTTCTATAGAAAGACAAAAAAAAAAAAAAATTATATGTGTATATATAGTTAGGAATTTCTTCACTGGTAAACAGCTGACGTCGTTCTGTTTGAAAATTGTTAAAGCGCTCTGGAACTTGTGTCGAAGATTTTATGAACTTTGGCCGTTCTTGGGTAATTAATCTGGAGAAGATGGACGCTCCCTCTTCGCTTTGTCTTTAGGTCTCCCGTTTTTCTTTTTCTTTTTTCTTTTGGAGTTTATATAGAGATAGCTAGTTTGTTCACATTATAAGGCACACACACATACACTACAACGCACACTCACACACACACACACACACACACACACACACACACACACACACACACACACACACACACACACACACACACACACACACACACACACACACGAGCGTGCATTCACACAAACACACACATAAACATGCAATCACACATATGCAGGTATATATATATAAACTTATGTACGTGTGTATGCATTTATCTGCAGATAAACACAAAACATTAATCTTCATTAACCCTAAGCCATGGTACGATTTAGAATATAGGACTTTGAAAAGCGACAAAAGAACGTGCGATTAGTGTAGAGCTTTGCAACCTTATTGCTTAGTTAAAAAGACCTAACAATTAACCAAATTATACGCTGATATGAGGCTATCAACGAAAAAAGGAAAAGAAGAAAATACTAACTATTGATGACAAAAGAAGCAAAGGCTAACTAGTAACTAAAAGATGCTAACAATTGGCCAAAACAAACAAACAAAAATCCGAACGCTTCAGAATTTTTTTAAAGTGTTTCGCCAATTCCAGGGTCGAAGAGAACCACACAGGCAGCTTTCCTTTTCTCTGAAGAGGCTGTTTAGGCCAACTGGCAAGGTGACAGACGTGTTCCTCCTGTCAAAGGGGAATTTCGGAACTCATGGTCTTGTGGACAGGAGAAAGGAGCAAAAAAAGAAGTGATAAAGTTAAAGAATATGATGTACGAATATAAGTCTAGACGTCAGAAAACAAAAACAAAAAAAAACTAAACAAAACAAAAAATCTTAGATTTCTGATGTGACGTAACTATTTCGGATTGTCACATAAGAATATGACTAGATTAGACAAAGACAAATCTAAAGCTAAATAAAGACTCAGTTACTCACTTTCCCCACGAGGTCTTGCCACAACGCCCCCTGCCCCGCCTCCTGTTCTCAAGACATGAGTCCGCTTCCTCACCATGAGTAAATGAACACCTGATGTCCTTAGGCCACTTACAGTTGACATTCAAGTCTCAAGTTACTAACCTCTTCCTCGGAATACCTCTGTATCTTTCCTTACTGTCTGAAGAAAGACATTTATTGTGTATATTATTTCTTCCTTTCTTTTTATTGGTTTAACATTAAACTCCTTTTTATGCCACATTTGAGATTTGAGACACTGTGTTCATGTGTTTTACTTGTTACTTCGGTATTTTTTTGGTTTTTAAAACCCTGATGCTCGGTATCTTTAGTTGGAGCTTTACATTGATTATTAATCTTGAAGGTGCATATATGACTGCTTAATTACTTTTGAATTTATTAATCAGGAGCTTCAGTTTATTATCCTAACAATATATATACATATACATACATACATATATATATATATATATATATATATATATATATATATATATATATATATATATATATATATATATATATATTTATATTTATATATATATGTATATATAATATATATATTTGCATATATATGTATATGTTTACATATGTGTGTATATATATATACACACGTGTATGTATGTATGTATACCATCCTATCCTCCAAGATCTCTCTAGACACAAACATGAACACGTACCCTTCCCTCACCCTCATATATAAATGTAACCCTACCCACCAATGGGGTTCCACCCTCTATACCTAAAAAAAAAAAAAAATAGAAGATAAGATAATTATCTTTTCTTAAAATAAAAAAAATCACCACAAAGAAAAAAAAAACTCTTCTAAAAACCTCCATTAAAAAAAAAAAAAAAAAATCTCTCTATAAAAACCCCCACGAACGCCCGCAGGACCGCCTTAGACCTCCTGGGCAAGGCAAGGGACCCAAATGGAGATCCCATTATGCTGGCCACCGTTCCTTCTGGGCCTCTGAATGCTACTCCCGTGAACCCTGTGACTCCGACAACCACCACCACCATCACTACACCTACCTATCTCGCACCTGATCAGTACACAGGCTACAGCTTGACAGTTGGGTGAGTCTCAACCTACGCCACGCAGGACAGGACTTTTAGATTGTAAGGGGTGGGGGAGGAGGGGGGAGGGGAGAAGGGGCTAAGGGGAGGTAAGGGGCAAAGGAGGGAGGGGGGGTGTCAGGGGGTTTGAGGGAAGGCGAGGGGGAGTGGAGAGTGGGTACGGGGGTAGAGGGTCTCGTGGGAGGGGAAAGGTGGGGGGAAAAAAAATTAAAAACCAAAAAATACTTTTATTGTTGTTATTGTTGTTTTTCGTTATTTAATCATTATCTTATTTTTCATTCCGGGGTTTTATTTTGACGGAAGATAGACAATTAGAAAAAAGAGGAGTGGAAAGATTTGGGTTGGAAATAGAAGTATAAAGGTTTACTCTGCTTGTGCTATAGAATGTAAAAGAAAATATCCGCGCCACGATCTAGGCTAAAAATAGCTTCTTTATCGCGAGGGAGAAATAAGGAACGTACCCAGAAAGGCCACTTCGCAATAGTAGTTTTAAAAGTAGATTGTAAGCACAAAATATTCAAAATAAAAAGAGTGCGGAGACGAGTTAGTGAAACGCGGAGAATAATATCCGTAGATTTTTTTCCCGATCGTGACTGAAAATGTGGCTTGGCTTCTTGTACGGAAAACAAAGCACATATATCTTGGAAAAATAGTGATAATAACAAAGAAGAGAAATAATAAGGAGAATAATTTTTTTTTTTCCCCGCGTCGCCTTAGCTGCGAAAAGAATTGTCAACGGAGAGAAAATTTGACATGAGGAAGAATGCTTATAATTTATTCCCAGGACGGACTCGAGCTCGAGGCTAAATGCTCGAGGCGAAAGAACAAGGAAAATGCAATCTCCTGAGACTTCCCAGGTGTTTAGCTCACCCTTTTTTCCTCCAGTTTTATTCGGTTTATTATTCAAATCAGATTTAAGATTCCCACTTGCCTTTGTTAAGTACTAGAAATATAGTTTGGGGGAAGGAATTACGCAACGGTAGTTTTGCTTTGTGCGTGTGCGTGAATATATGTATATATATATGTGTGTGTGTGTGTGTGTGTGTGTGTGTGTGTGTGTGTGTGTGTGTGTGTGTGTGTGTGTATGTGTATATATATATATATATATATATATATATATATATATATATATATATATATATATATATATATATATATATATATATATATATATATGTATATACATATATATATATATATATATATATATATATATATATATATATATATATATATATATATATATGTATATACATATATATATATATATATATATATATATATATATATATATATATATATATATATATAAATGTTCATATATGAATGTGTGTGTGTGTGTGTGTGTGTGTGTGTGTGTGTGTGTGTGTGTGTATGTATGTATGTATATATGGATATATATATAGATAGATAGATAGATAGATAGATAGATAGATAGATAGATAGATAGATATAGATATATTTTTATGTATATATAGATATAGATATAGATATGTATATTTATATACCTTACCGGATAAAGAGAAAAAAGCCAGATTACTTGTCGAAAACACGACTTTAGATCTAACAAAGAAAAAAATGGGCACACACAGTTAATCTTAAGAAAACATATCCCACAATGAAAAGGTTTCCGCAGTTCTGGCGAAGCACTATTCCAAAAATAAGTTAATTTCTCTAAGGCTTTTGTGCCTCAAGAAGCGACGGACGGGAACAGCAAACAATGTGTCATTATGCTCTCAGAGGAACATAATGCTGGCGTCCTGTGTGCACCTGAGCCAAGATGCTCTCGCTGCACATTTATATTTCGGGGACGAGTGGATTTGCTTGCTAATTTGCATTATATTGCATTAATTATATATATATGTATATACACATATATGTATATATATATATATATATATATATATATATATATATATATATATATATATATTTATATATATATATATATATGTGTGTGTGTGTGTGTGTATGTGTGTGTGTGTGTGTGTATGTGTGTGTGTGAGTGTGTGTGTGTGTGTGTGTGTATGTGTGTGTGTGTGTGTGTATGTGTGTGTGTGAGTGTGTGTGTGTGTGTGTGTGTGTGTGTGTGTGTGTGTGTGTGTGTGAGAGAGAGAGAGAGAGAGAGAGCGTGTTTGTGTGTGTGTCATTTATTCTTGCATTGTTACATTGTTCTTCTCGCTCGCCTTTTTTGTAAATTTAATCAAACTATAGAACAGTAATGAGTGGAATAGTTAAAAAGAGAAAGAACGGAATTCCAAGTAAAGTGTCACTTGCAAACACAACAGCGCAGATTAAAAACTTCCTCCGTGCCTCCGAGAAAGGAAGTTGATAAAATCATACGAAGAGGAAAAGTAAAGTATGGGGAAGAAAGGGAACGAGAAGAAGAAGAAGAAAAAAAATGCATATATAAAAGACCTTTTTTTCTTATTAAAGCATGACAATCGTATTAACAGGAAGGTAAAAGACGAGGAAGAATGGGAAAAGGAGGACGGAGAAGGAAAGGGAGGAGGAGGAGGAGGAGGAGGAGGAGGAAGAGGAAGGGGGGAGGGGGGGAGAACAACAATAGCGATGTTTAAACAATGAAATTCCCCAGCGGGTTGTCCCTCGGGGATGCCCTGGGGGGTGGGGGGGGGAGACCTGGATTTTGTTCGGGTCAGGGATGTGATGCGTGAGTGCGGGACCTTTCTCGGGGGTCAGGGAGAGGGCGCGAGGGGAGAGAGAAAGAGAGATGGAGAGAGAGGGCGCGAGGGGAGAGGGAGGGGAAGGGAGAGGGAGAGGGGAGAGGGAGGGGGAGAGAGAAAGAGAGAGGGAGAGAGAGGGCTTGAGGGGGAGGGAAGGGGAAGGGAGAGGGAGAGGGGAGAGGGAGGAGGAGAGAGAAAGAGAGAGGGAGGGCGAGGGCTTGAGGGGGGGAGGGGAGGGGAAGGGAGAGGGAGAGGGGAGAGGGCGCTAGGGGAGAGGGAGGAGGAGAGAGAAAGGAAGTGGGGCCAGGGAGAGGGCGTGAGGGGAGAGGGAGGAGGAGAGAGAAAGAGAGCGGGAGAGAGGGCGTAAGGGAAGAAGGAGGAAAGGGAAAGAGGGAGAGGGGGGAGAGGAAGAAGGAAAAAGAGAGGGGAAAATGGGAATGATGTTGAAAAAAGAAAGAGGAGAGGGGAAAGGAAAGACGTTGGGAAAGCTTGGGAGAGAGAGTGATGGAGTTCATGAAATAGGGAATGGAAAGAGTGAAAGAGAGGAAGAGAGAGGAGCAAAATAAAATGGGAAGATTATATGCATATATATATATGTGTGTGTGTGTGTGCGTGCGTGCGTGCGTGTGGGTGTGTGTCTGTATGTATGTATATACAGAGAGAGAGGAAAGCAGATGAGCTGATGGATATGCATATTCAAAAAAATGTATATATAATGACAATTGTCTACGTTGTAGCTACTTTATTTCTAATATGTATATATATATGCATATACACATGAATAGTTTTTTTAATTCATTGATAAATAGTTATGTTGTTTAAGAAGAGAGGTTAAAATAGGCTAACTGGTTCCAGCGGTTTTCCAAACATATTTTTATATACTTGCTAACTTTTTTTTTTCCAAATAGTGCCATATAGATTAACGAGAAAAAAAATTACGCATGAAAAATAAGTGAAAGAAGAAGAAGGAGACGGTAAACAAGAAGAAAGGAAAGACGGAGAAAAAAATAGGATGAAAATATTTAAGGAAGGAAATGTACTTTTGAATAGACTGAGCTAATTATGTTAATGAGACAACCAAAAGGAAAAACGCCGAGAGCAGGTTAAGAAAGCTGTAACGAGGTAGTTGGAGAGGGGGAGGGGGGGAGGAGGGGAGGAGAGGGGGAAAGGGAGAGAAGAGAGAGATGAGAGAAGGGGGAGATGAGTGAGAGAGAGAATGTAGCAGAAAAAAAAAGAGAATAAGACATGGATGCAGAGGAGAGAGGGGAGAGGGGAAGGGAAAGAGAGAGAGAGAGAGAGAGATAGAGATAGAGAGAGAGAGAGAAAGAGAGAGAGAGAGAGAGAGAGAGAGAGAGAGAGAGAGAGAGAGAGAGAGAGAGAGAGAAGGTAAAGAAAGTAAAGAAAGTAAGAAAGACACAACGGGAAGAAAAAAAATAGTAATAACAAAAAGCAAAGATGAAGACAGAATCCAACAAAAAAGGGAGAGAAAACAAGAAAAAGAAAGAAATAGAGAGAGAGAGAGAGAGAGAGAGAATATGAGAGAAAAAGAACACAAGAACATCGAAACGGCCACACCAAACCCAGTGAATGTTCTCTCCCCGAAATATTTCACCGGTTATCTGAAAAGATGATCTTCGCCAAGACCAGGGTTTCTGGGGGTCTGTCCACGCAGGCAGGAGGACGGCTCTTCGGGGATTTCGACCCCGCGTGAGAGGCGAGGAACGGGGGGGGGGGGGATGAAAGGGGAAAGGGGAAGGAGGAAGGTAGGGGAGGAAAGGGAAAAAGGGGATGGAAGGGGAAGGGTGAGGGAAGGGAAAGGGGGAGGAGGAGGAGGAGGAGAAGGGAGAAGGGGAAGGGGAAGGGAAAAGGGGAGGGGAAGGAGGGGAAGGGAAGAGGGAAGGGGGAGGAGGGAAGGGACAGGGGCAAGGGAGGAGATGACAACGTAACACCTCCGCCATAACAGTCTTTCAACCTCGTCCTTATCCCGAGGCTTCCCCCACCCTCTCCCCTCCCCTCCCCTCCCCCCTCTTTCCTTCCCCTCGTCCTGCTTGTCATCTCTGCCCTTCCCTTCTCCCCTCTCTCTCCAAGTGTCCCCTCTTCACGCCCTTGTCCTTTCCCTACCTCCTTTCCCCCGCCCTCTGTCCCTTCTCCCTTTTTATTATTTTTCCCCTTCTTCCACCCCCCCCCCCCCCCGTCCAAGTGTCCACTTTCCCATACCCTTCTTCTTCTTCTTCTCTTTATCTTCTTCCGTCTCCCCTCTCGACGTCGGCTTTTCCCCTCCTTTATCTCCCTCTCCCTTCTTACCCTCTTTCTCCT